ATTAGTAAATTGTCCCCATCCCCCCCCTCCCTCCCTTCCTCCCCCCACACACACAGGATCAACAGCAGAGACATTAAATCATTTCGCTGTTAAAAATGACCGAGGACGAGTAACGAAGCAGACTGTAAACCTCATCTGCACAAATCCCTCGCAGTAACGCTCACTTCGATTATTCCCTCCACTTTAACTGAGACGCACCTACATCTCATTCGTGTCCTCATTCGCACCAATATGACAGTTGTCTTTCATCTGTTTTTTAAATTTTTTCTGCTAAGAATCAATAGTTTATCAGCTGTTAGTAAAGATTTGTTATCTACATGTGTTAGTAAGCGGAGTAGCATCACCTTACTCGACCCGTAGGTACTGTAGGCTGGGTGAGGAGGGTCCATGCTTTGAGAATGTATCACATGCTATCCAGTTGTGCTTTAATCACAGTAGGAGAGCACCCAAAGGAGAAAGAATGATATAGGTGGTGTCAATTTTGCGATAATATTTCTGACACGTCTCAGGTCGTATGATGCCTGAAACGAACCTTACCGATCCTAAAGCAAGTAGCTGTACTACGCATTCTGTATATGAAGGACGTTATTTGTTAACTAGTATAACAGCATTGTCAAGTAAAGATATATATGGAGTAAAGTCCATACCATAGATAGATAACAAGCTGGACAGCACATGCGTCAAAATGAGTTCTATAATCTTGCAAGAAGTGAGAGTGAAACCGTGTTGTCAAAGAGAGATGAAGAAGAAGATCTTTGGCTCAAGCCACGCTAAAATGTCACTGGTCCTCGCCAGTGTGTACACACGAAAGAAAGACAGACGAGTAAATACAACCTCCTGACCACGTGCACGCCAACACACGACTAAAACCACCTGCTCTGTTCCCTGAGCTGCTGCCACTCACTCATTAGCTGGACACACACACACACACACACACACACAACCTCTTCCTCGCAAAACAAATGCCACTTCCACCAGTCAGCGTTCCCGTATATTCTGGGCACATGAGGCCAGTCGGCTAAAGGGGGGCAGCCGTCGAGCTGCTCGTCTACGCCAAAGCCCACAGCACAGCCTGATGCAACTGTAAATAAGGCAAAAACACTTGAACACAATTTGATCAAGGAGAAGTTTCCATGAGATGTGGGTCCAGCACTGATATGAACCACTTCCTGTACAGTAAATCCTCAGCCTGAAAACAGAGGTTGGATAACACAGTGAACTCTGCATCGGATTTTAACACGACTGCAGCTCCTACCATTAAGGAGGAGTAAATAGACTCGACTCTTCAGTGGGAGACGAGTTGCCCTGACACATCGGCTCGGTTCACTGGTCAGGACGCAGGAGAAGCCTCTCCTCTCATCTTGACCGCCACCGCCACACTTAGATAGCAGGAGCATCGGGCTGGACAAATGTACTGCCAGTGAAGACACAGAGGGAGGACGAGGAGAGGGAATTATCAGGAGATATGATTCTATAGTGCAATGGCTGTGAGATAAGACTATTGTAATACCCATCCTCTCCCCTCCTTTAAACTACCCTCCAACACCTATACTGACAATACTAAAGTGCTGATTGTTAAAGCCCACGAGAGGGCTCGTACACCGATATATGTCGACAACACAAACAAACAGTTTTTCAGAGAAACCTTGACGGACTCGGTACAGTACACACGTGTTTGTAAACAGAACGTCCAAGGAACAAATGCATGGCTATGGTACATGTGCAACAGAGTAGTTCGCGTATATTCATACAGTATGAACTTAATCTTCCTTTTAGTTGCATTCAGTTTTAGAAAAAAAAAAGCAGAAAAAAAAAACAAACAAAAAAATCTGGCTGCCAAGCAAGCGTGTGCTTATTTTTTTTTTTATTTAAAAGATATTTTTGTCTACGGATTTAAAATACGCTGAATTGAATGTATAACTGATTTAAGTATGAGCGCATATCCCTAACCTCTCTTCCACTTACGTCTTTCTTTGTCAATCCCTTCCTTTTCCTGGTGACTATTTTTTCTTATCTTATCCCCGTGACTCTAAATGAGGTGCCCTGGGTGGCCTTGGTGTGGCCAGACTCATGCGCCAGGGTCTCACTCAGTAAAAGCTCAAGCAAACAGAGGATCAGGCAAAGGTGGGGCGCTGCGGCTGCAGCCCGGGTGCAGCCCTGCCGGGCGGGGCCGCACTGCGCGTTAGGAGCGGTAGTCCTTTTTACTGTACGGCTTGTTCCCCAGGATGCTGTCCACCTCGTGTGTGATGGACGACGACAACTTCGGAAGAACCTGTGACGGGACAGAGACACAATGAGTGAATATGTTCGCTTCACTTATGTTCACTGTCAGTGGTCCTTTAGAAACTGTCTGCAGTTGCACATCAAACCCTCTAAATAGCGCTGAAGGGTGACTTTATTTCATCAATGATGCGACTTCCAGTCTGAAAATATTAGCTGTGTGTAAAAGTGTAAAAATAGGCTTTTTTATATAAATAATCTAAAGTTTATTTAATTGGTTTTCAATCTTGTGGGTGGTTTTTAAAACTAAACATATAAAATAAAGTTTTTTGTACCTTCTTTTACTCACATTGAGCTGATTTGTTGGTGTAAATTATTACACTTTACACAGTGGAGGAAGAAGTACTCAGTTTACTGAAGTAGCAATAAGCACAATGTAAAAATACTGCATTAAATGACAAAGTCCCTTCAAAATTTTAACTCGTTATTTATTAGCAAAATGTACTAATATTGCAGTAAAAGTCGTCATTACACAGCAGTGATATTATATTTTACTGTAATTTCCTTCTATAGAATCCACAAAATAGTTTAAAATAGAAAACAGTTTAATTCTGACATGATGTAATTAAACAAACTATTTCCATGTAGATCATTTGTTCTCTAATTTTCTCTTCAAACAGCGGAGATATTAAATAAAAAAATAAGTCCTTTCATGTTGACTTGTGTGTCTATTTCAGGGTCTATGATGTAAAATTCCCATTAAAAGGAAGAATGTGGAGCCCTCGGGAAATGTGAGCATAACATTTCGAAACCGAAATATCAAATGTACTAAGGGAGAGGAGACGTATATTGTGCACACGTCTAGTATACTAATGTGTCCACACACACACACAC